CCTTGAACGTTGCCGCCGCTGCGCCGTAGGGCGGCGACGTTGCGGTCGAACTCGTAGAAGCCCATTTCGTTCAGCTGTCTGAGTTGTACCTCGTAGATTTCCTCAGGGGGCCGGTTGTCTGCTGGGGCTGGTGGGGCACCGAAACCGCCTGCGCCGCCGAATCCGCCGGGGCCGAAGAGTGCGGCGAAGGGGTTGCCGCCGGCTTGTTGGCCTGCTTCGCCTCCTGGAGCTCCTGCCGCGTCTTGTCCACCAAAGGCTGCGAATGGGTTTGCTCCTGCGCCTCCTGCACCGCCCATCATCTGCATCATGTTGCGCATGGCTTCTGGGTCCTGCATCATCCTCTGGGCGGCCGCCGCGAACGGGTTCGCTTGTCCGCCTTGTGCGCCAGCTCCACCAAACAAGTTGGGGAAGGTGCCCGAGGCGTCTTGTGTGTTTTGTGCCGCACCACCCTGTTGCTGAGGAGCCAAAGGATTCTGGCCTCCAGCAAACAGATTGGCGAACGGGTTTGCTCCAGCGCCTGCGGCACCACCGGCTGTACCGAACGCGGAGAATGGATCTGTCGGTCCGGTCGTATTAGGCTGGTTCGGTGTCGCGGTTGTGCCTTCTCCTGTGGCAGTCGAACCTGGCTGTGTGGTGTTGTCGGTAGCTCCTGGGGCTGGGAAACTCGGGCCTGTGGGGCCCATATTCCGCTGCATCTGCAGTTGCATGCGCATCATCTCTGGGCTGAACATCATACGGCGCATTTCGGGGTTTCGGAGGACTTGCTGAAGCATCGGGTTGTCGCGGATCTATCTCAGATTAGACAATGCATAGTATAAAGAAGGAACAAGCTTACCATGGGGCTCTGCAGCATCATTTCTACTACTGCTGGGTTGTTCATAGCCTCGTTCATCTGCGACAGAAACATGGGGTTCTCCATCTGCTCTAGTAACGCTTCTGGGTTTGTAGGAGGACCGCCCATCTATTTTGTGTCAGTAAATGTCCATGTTGAATCTCGGGTTGATCTAGACTTACGCCACCATCTGGTCCGAAAGTGTCCATTCCTGGTAGACCGTGAAAGCCGGCATAGCGCGCGCCTGTGAGCCCAGCGAGAGGGTTGTTGCCTGTTCCTGCAGCAATGTTGGTCGGCACCTGTGGCGTCTGGGTGTTGCCCCCGCTTGCTGAGCCTGCCGTGCCTTGGTTTCGTACGTTGCTGGCGGCACCCTTGACGAGATGGACTGTGTGGCCATCCTTGATCTTGACGCTAGCGAGTGTGTCGTGGTCCTTCAGCACGCGACCGGAGTATATCAGGCGTTGGCGTTCGGCGGGAACATCTGCGTACTCCGACGTCGAGAGCTTGGCCTTGAGGTCGGCAACTGTGGTGGTTTGGGCTAGTGTGAGAACGTGCTTCTGGTCGTTTGCAGCCTTGACATTGAAGGTGATCTGCGTGTCCTCGGTGGTTGTGGCGGCGTCGTCGGCCATGGTCGCTGATTTACGAGCGTGGGGTAGTGATAGGAAGCTCTACAGGCACTGGAGGAATAGAGCAGTCTGGGTATGACTGTTGACTGCGAACTGATGCGTGTCCTTGGCGAGTGTGAGTGGTGTATAGCAGCAGAGATGTTTGACTGTGCGAGAGGCCGTCCTTAGCTTTGGATAGGATTGGAAGGCAGTAGAACGTCACTGGACCCGCACCTGGTACCCTGCCGTTCCTTAGCGCGTGCCCGTGCATATCGCGCGGCTTCCGCTGACTAAGACACGCGCGCCAAGCCTTCGGGTGGGGGCAGGAGCGGAGGTTGGCCGGGGAAGCCAGCCGAGGTATCTTGGAGCGTTGAGTAGCTGTCGGCCGTCATGCAAGCTACAATGGCGTCCGCGTCTGTTCTATCTACCCGAAGTCATCTTCGAGCTCCCGACTGAACCTTTCTCTCATTCAACAATTGAAGCTGTTTGCTATCATACATACTTCGCGTAACCTCAGTCAAACCTCAACATGAAAGGCATACAGATCAAGGAATATGTCTCGGTAAGCATCCTACCTAGCAATGTACCAGCCTCAAGCTTCACCACTAACTCTATCAGGGCCCAGAGGATCTCAAGGTCCTCGACCTCCCAACCCCGACCCCAAAATCGAACGAGTACCTAATCGCCATCCACGCCTCAGCAACCAACTTCTTCGATCTCCTCCAAATCCGCGGCAAATACCAACACCAACCTGCATTCCCCTGGATAGCCGGTTCAGAGTTCTCCGGCGTCGTCCTCAAAGCGCCGACATCGCTTGCAGGAGGCAAGACACCAAAGTTCAAGGAGGGCGACAAGGTTTTTGGTGCTTCCCAAGGCGGCTACGCAACACACATCGTTTGCACAGAAGAGAGACTCAAGCCTGTGCCCGAGGGATGGAGTTTTGAAGATGCTGCTGGTGTATTTGTTACAGCGCCGACGAGCTATGCCGGCCTGGTAACTAGAGCAGGGATCAAGAAGGGTAAGCCATCGGAACTCCGAACCCTGCTCATCTTCCCATGACGAAGCTAACACTGCTCTGTAGGCGACTGGGTACTCGTCCACGCAGCAGCCGGCGGCGTCGGTCTCGCTGCCGTGCAAATCGCCAAAGCCTTCGGCGCGACCGTCGTAGCCACAGCTGGCACATCACACAAACTCGACGTCGCGCGTGCCTTCGGCGCAGACTACGCCGTCTCCTACCGCGACAAAGATTGGCCCGAGCAAGTGAAGAAGCTCACTCCCAAGGGTCGTGGCGTGGATATCGTATACGACCCTGTCGGATTAATCGCTCAGTCCATGAAATGCACGGCCTGGAACGGCAGACTTCTGGTCATCGGATTTGCGGCAGGCGATATCGAGAAGATGGCTACGAACCGCATCTTGCTCAAGAACGTTAGTGTTGTTGGGTTGCATTGGGGTGCGTATGCGATAAACGAGCCGGAGATGCAGGATAAGGTATGGGACGGTATTTTCCAGCTTGTCAAGGAGGGGAAATACAAGGGCACTGCTTTTACCGATGTGGAGTACGTCGGACTTGACAGTGTACCCGCGGCGTTGAAGGCATTGGGTGGTCGCAACAGCTGGGGTAAGGTTGTTGTCAAGGTACCGCAAGAGGGTGGAAGCAAGATGTAAAGTGCCTGGCAAAATCATTTGTTAAGCCATGTGCAAAGTCCGGCCTAAAATTGCCATCGCGTACATGACCAGCTACCTCGGAGCGGCATTATAGTTTGGCAAACTGCCCATTCTTCCACATACGACCATAGGATCATGAGAATTAGGCTTCCCGTCCGCTCAGCCATATACAAGCATGATACCGGCGGATTAGTAGTTAGGTGGGTGACCACTAGCGAATCCCCGCTGTTGTATGTTTTTTGCCAAAAAGTCTTTCTTTTTGCCCATCATAGTCTACGCGGTCGAACAGCCTGAATTACGGCATAAGCTACTCCACCACTCTCGTCCTAACATACCGCAGCGTCCTCACCTCAAAATCATTACAATCATTGCACGAAGGTCCGGGCCGCAAAAGCCTACGATCACGCCTCGATACCACAGTCTCTCCCAAATCCCTCTTCCACCGCCTTTCCACTACATCCCCATCCCAAACTAATGCCCACTCTTTCCCCTTCCCCTCTTCTTCCCCATCACCACCAAACCCAAACCTCCACATCTTCGCATACTGTACAACGCGTTCCAACTCCTCCTTCCTCGCCTCGAACGTCTCCAGCACCAACTCCAGCGTCTTCAGATCAGGCAACGCAGAAACGACATGTGCGCCCCAAGATTGCGGGTTGAGCCGCGGATGCCGACCAGCCTTGCGCTGTTCAGCACGCAGACGCATGGCTTTGCCCGAGGGGCGGCCCTCGTTGAGGTCGTAGCGCCCGAACGACGGGTCGAGATGGAGGTTTACGGCTACGTTCCAGGTCGACCAATCTGTGCGTGTGAGACGTAGTGTGAGATGGGCTAGGGGTTGAGCGAGGGAGATGTGGAGGGCGCGAGATGATGGTAGCATGGATTCCGCGGGGGTGGGAAGACGATCTAGAATATCGTTCAGACGCTGCGGTTGTGTATTTGGCAAGTCGACGACGGATGGTACAAGAAGATTGTCGTCGAGAGTGCGTGAGCACCCTTCTATCTTCGTCCGTCCATCATCGTGGAAACAACGCAGAGGCACCACGTATGCGCCCTGGTGTCTAGCGTTGCCTCCCAATTCTGTCAACAAATCCCCCAGCTTCCCTTTTTCCAACTCGCGCTGCTTGATTGTAATGTCCAGTCCGCGTATCTGTGCTAGTTGCCATGCTGACATTCTGGCGCTTCGAAGATTTCGAGATGCACCCATGCGGTATGCATTTACTTTCAGTGGCATGTTCCACGTCTCCAGATACACCGCCTTACAAGTCAGGAGGAGAGATACCGTTGTATCAGAAGGATACAAAGGTCTCCCGCCAGCCAAACTCCCAGCGTTTTGACCGTGACCGAGATATTTGACGTGGACAGCTGGTATGGAGTCTTTGGGATCAAGGTAGTCGATGGGATAGGAGGCTGTGTCTTTGAGGGCGTAGGTATAGATTATCTCTCTGAGTTCCAGAGGAAGTGATGTGAAGAGGCGGCAGTTGCTCTGGGATTGGACGTTTGATGGATCTAGAGACCATGCTAGTGGTTCACGGTTTATTTTCGTGCGGGCGCATTGTAGATTGACATTTTCGGCTGGCGTACTACCAGTGGACTTTATGTCGCTGGGTGTTGGTTCGTGTGCGGCTTCTTGGGTGGCGTCTAGTTGATCTTGGTAGCGTATGCATTCGTAGCAATTCCCGCATCGATCATTAGCCATTGTGGTATCTTGACTATCTTTGCAGATCGATAAACAGAACTGGGGAGATTTGTATAACAATGATGGCAGCAGGAGGGATTTCTTGTATCGAAGTGGATGACTCAAATGTAGATGTGTATGGTTGCCTGCAGGCCGATCCCGTCCTTGCAATTTAGGCGTCCCAGTTGAGGTGGGTATCCGCCACCTGGACACGAGCGAATCAAGTAAAGCGGCCGCTGGGCTCTAACAGCTTGCCAATCGCCTTCTTGATATACTCCTCACCCTCAACCCATCCTCCACCTATCAGTCGCTGAAGCTCCTCAACATTACTCATCCTCAACCCTGGAATATGAGCGAAGAGCTTCTCAATCACATCCGTGAGACTACCCTGCGTGATTGCACCAGCAATAGCCCGATACATCCCAGACTTACGTGTGTATTTCGCGTCGGAGCATCCAGTCTCTGCCATGGCATCGGCATAAATATCCGCGTACTTCTGCATCTCCCATGTGGGCATGTGGGGTGAGTCAGCAAGAGAAAAGTCTTTGTTCCAATCACGACGGAGGAAGTCGGGTAGTGAAGCATAGCCGATACAGCGAGGGACGGCGAGACAGTTATCCCAGTCGATGATGCCTGTAACGTTGCCGTCGTCATCTACGAGAATGTTCTGTAGATCGAGATCAGGATGACGGATGACGAAGGTCTCCTTCTCGTCGGCATCTGCGGGATCTTTTTTCGAAGCGGCGATGGTAGGGTGGTCGTGAAGCATGTCGATGATCTTGCGCATTCCAGATACCATGTTCAGTATTTCTTGATCAACATCGGGATCGTATTCAGGGATCGCAGGCCAGCTCTCCTCCAAGTCCAGCTTCCAGTAGTCCAGATTCTTTTTGAATGGTCCATATGGGTACACTTGGGTTGGTCCTCCTAGATCCTCCGCAGTGAGTTCGTACGGCGGCTTCCAGCGATATGAGACTGTAGTTGTTGGCGTCGCGCTTAAAGAAAGTGCGTCCTTGCAATCTACAAGACCAACCTCATTGAAGCTCACATCTCTTAGCTGCGACATACACTGCGCAAGTGAGCGCAGAATATTACGACGCTTCTTCTCCGTTTGTGGAGAAACGCAGTTGGTGGTGACATGATTGCGATCACTAGGCTTGTCATACCAGACGTTTTGGGCGGCTTTTCCAGGCATGCGCTTCATCAAGATGTATGGTGCGCCGATGAAAGAGGTCTCGATATCTAGAGCGAAGTCAACGACTTCTGGTATCGGGATGGAAGTTTTGTTTCGCAGCCACTGCATCAAGGTCACTTCGCAGCGTAGGTTGTGCTGATCGCCTGGCTGCCACCGGGCTGCAGTTCCAATAGCAGGGACTCTGAAAACATATCGTTCGACAAGACGGTTGGGAGGCTCGTCTTTTACCGCTGCCATGAACACAACGTGATGAAATCCACCATCCCTGCGTTGCGTAACATGGCACTCCTCTAAAGCAATATCGACGGAGCTGTAGCTCTCGATGACCGAATGCAGCAGCTGTCTGAATGCCGAATCAGGAATTGCGTGAATCTTTTCCCAATCAAAGCGAGACATCCCGGCTTCAGATGCATCTGTCCTGACGGTGGTGTCGCGATCGTCCCCAGTGCCAGTATCCGCTTCACTCTTTGCAGTTGTGCATGTATTGCCGTCTTGCGACTGCGTCGTGTTACTCGGAATCAGAAGACTATCATCTTCTTGACATGCTTGTATGTTTCGCGAGGATGCGCTATCCCTTTGCTGGCTACGGCTTGAAGGATCCGAAGGCACGTCAAAGCTCTCCAACATGTCGTTGTGAAGGTTTACTGCCGTCGACGCGTCGCCCGTAACCTCTTTCAGAGAACGAATAATCGTAGTCGAGCCGTTCGTAGTCGTGCAGCTATCGTGGTGATGTACGTTATCGAAGATGGACCCAGCAAGCTTATAAGTCAGAGTCGAGGTGATGGTGGATCGGCTCCCAGCTTCACGAATTGTACGTTTGTCGTCAGTTGCGGTGCTCTCGCAAGCGGTTGATCCTTTGTCTACTTTGTTAAGAACGTGATTGTTTTTCGCAATGTCGACATGGTCATCGGACGACTGCGCAAAGCCTTCATTCGTGATCTGCTGAACACCGGGCTCAGCGATATCGGACCCTCGAAAGATGTCATCAACTTCCCACCCACCACTGGACTCCTGCTCGAGGCTGAGTGTGAGCGGTTCGAGCTGGTACACGTCGTCGCTGGTCTCGGATTTGCGTTCTTCGTGTGTCTTGGGCGAGACGGTTCGACTGTGTTTATAGTGGAACAGTCTCCGCAAAGAAGCCAGCATGCGCGATGCTCTTCCTGATTTGGGAGCTTCCATGGCGTTGAGTGCAGGCGGGATGACGGAAGATGCATTGAGTGTCGTCACCTTTGCTTGACGATTCGGCCATAGGCTTGTGATCTTGTTTAGAATACCCATAGCTAGTAGAGTTGAGTTGGCCACTCGTGATCGTGAGAGGGTAGCAGGTGGTTGAAAGGTCCAAGTGAGAATGTGTTTATGTATTGCAAGAGTCGAAAGCTTTGACCGTATTCTTTGTGATTCACTGCTGCCGGTAAATGCGATCAGGAAGCGATAGATTGCACTTATGCCTTTCACACGGCCCAGTTCTTGCTGGTTCAAAAGTTCGCAGAATGCCCTGGCTTTACTGTCCAATATCAGTACGCGCACATTCAACTCCACTGTTGATCAAATACCCAGCCAAAGACATTCCTTGCCCCCTTAACGACCCAATTACAAGATCTCGAAGCTCAAAGTTCTGATCCGTTACCTTTGAGAATATCTACCATGGCAGTATTCAGTTTGCCCTTTGTACGACTCTATGGGCCCGGTTGGGCTGTCTCCTGGAGTGGCCGTTGTTGCAACATTTGGCGAATGACGTGCGACATGGAAGGGCACCACTGTATAGAGCCTGGATGCGGCACAATCAAGCGCAGTTGCTTCGAGCGGCTACATCTTGCATACTGTTGCGTACCCATTCAGATGGCTAATGGCCAGTGGCGGTTCTGCGGCAACCGATTCGGAGTAGAATCTCCTCATGGTTGCTCATTACACCATTACGGCGAGTATGAAGATAACCGCTTTTTCCAGATGGCGAAGAAGAATTTGGACTATGAGCTCCCGAGCAAGTTCCCCCACGAGCAGATCGGATGGCAGATGGACATACCCAAGCTCGGAGATATCCGCTTTCCGTTCACTATGTGCATGGGTCTGATCAGTGGTCAACCGAGCTTTGTTCGAGTTCTAAAGGTCTCGCCAGACGGTTCGCCCGCTGAGATCTGTGAGATCGTTAAGGTAGCAGATAGGGATTTGCAGCTCACCAAACCCGAGACCAGCAACGACCGTTCCTCGGACGACTCTGCAGAGGCAAATGCAATTCCTCGAAAGCCAGCAGTTCTCCTTAGTATAATCGAGGAGGAAGAGACAAACGAAGAAGCATATAATGATGCCGCCTCTTATATGACCTATAACCATGCTATCAGAGAGGCCAATCGAGAGCGAGAACGGGGATTAAAAGACTCCCAGAAAGCCAGAGCAGCTGAGAAAGCAGCAAAAGCCGCTTCTTCCAAGTCCAGGGCCAAGTTGCAGAAGCCGGAGAGTATGAAAGAGAAAATAGCTGCAGCAAAGCGGAAGAAGAAAGACTGATCAGCGTATCCCGGTTCTGTAAGTACTTCGATTAGATATCGATTTGTTTCCGCGTAGAATCGGCGCAATCCTTTGCTATCGCTGACGAATGTAGTTCCGTAATCAGTCAGCACCCGAACATCGTTTTGCGTTGATAAGAAATCGCAGGCGCTGAGATGCGATATGAATATTGCAGGATGAGCAGACATAGTGGTAACCACTGGCTGCGCTGCGATGCACTGTAGGATCAGCATAAGCTTGGCGAGAGAACCTGGCGTTCATGAGATATGCGCGAGGCATGAAAATCTACTCTTTTCAGAACGCCTTAAGCGTACAGAATCAGTTTGTGGTGAATGAAATGACCCCTCATATGTCTCGGTGCTTTTGATGAGGCATGGTGTTCGGTGATGAGATGAGGATGAGGTTCGAGTTGGAAGCGTGGGAAGGAACTATGGAGCATTGACCACCAAAGCGTGGCGCTGACTAATTACCGATCGCCGAGCTCATTGTTACGCGCATCCGCATTGGAGATGCGTCTTACCCTCCGCGTTTTGCTGACTTCTGTCATTTTCGACTGTCGGTGCGCTTGCTCATCTCTTGTGTCTATCAACACGACCACTTGATGCCGGGCTGGCCATCATCGTGTCAAGCTTCATACCTACCGTTCACCTTTGCCACCGATGGCGAAACAAAACCTGGCCCTGAAGTCTAGCCTGAGCATGCGCGAGCTTTATGCTACGAGCATATTTGAAGAACCCAATATAGCCTTCCGCGTATCTGTGGGAACTGTAACTTCGTGGACACAAAAGCGAAATGAAAACTGCGAAACCGGAACCATTAGTTGCCATGGCTATAGGGTGAAGGCAACGGCACAACAAGGTGCCTGTCACTCCTGGCCCGCACTCAATCTTGCAGAAAGAACTAGAATAGCCTACATGGATGTTCGAGGAATGTGTGGCAGAATTCACAATGTTGTCAAGTGTCAGTACGATTTGGCGTGACAAGTCTGGGCCTTCCGACTGTCGAACAACGCGACCGCATTCACTCTGAACCTTTGGCAAGCCAGTATTCGCCATCGTTCTGAGATGAGTCTGCCGCTTCATTTCACCCCATGAGCTACCAGCTCTCTTGAGTATAAGTTCGTCCCCTATTCTCCCCACATCATTACTCACCTTCCGAAACCCTACACATCCTTTACAGGTCAACCAAAACTTCGCCACTTACTCTCTTCAACATACTACTCACATTCGAAGCTCTAAACCATTGCTTCAGACCATCATGTCATCGGAAGAGGACAAGATAACATCCTCGTTGGTCAATCTAGACATTTGCATGACCGCGCAGGAGTCGACAGTTGACCGGAACAGTATTCCAGCCGACGAACATGCCAACCAAAACAAGACTTATCGAAACCAGCCCTCTAGACCTAAGGGGAACGAAGAGACTGAGGATGGCGGCATGAATTCTGGCATTGGCCTGGACGAACCAGTGTCTGATGATGATGACGACCACGAGCGCTACATTGTTGATGACGATGAAAGCGTTCACCTTGCTCTTAACCTAAAACGCCACGACTGGGAGCCTCTTCGACAAATTCCAGACGACAAGTTCAAGGATATTGTCCTGCTATCCGTGGATCCCAGCGGCCAGCTTGAGCGTGCAAATGTCGAAATTCTCTCGCGCTATGAGGGCGAAATGAACCTCGTTGTGACGCTTCAAGTCCGCCACAAAGACCAGGGTGATCAAGACTACGTCGTATCGGTGCCATCCGTGGGCACGCAACCTCGCTGGCGAGCGGGAGACGCCCACAATCTGAGAAATGAAGTTGGTCTTATGAAGTACCTCTTTCAGCACACGGATGTTCCGGCCCCAGAGGTCATCGCATCAGCAGAGTCTGTAGAGGGATCCAACCTAGGTGCGCCTTACATACTCATGAAGCGTTTACCTGGCCGTCGTGCGCATGAGATTTGGTTCGAAGATGCCTCGGACATGAGCCACATTACCGCAGTCCGTACCTCAAAGGAAACTGAGGTAAAGCGTGTGAACCTATTGCGTTCACTTGCCAATGCTATGGCAGGGCTACAAAAGGTTGAGTTCAAGGGCATTGGGATTCCTGCGTTTACCGATGGGGGGAGCAGTGAGACGCCCCGCGTTTCCTATTTATCTCAGTGGAAGGATGAATCCGACCTCACGCATGAAGACCTGGAGTCTGACACTCAGGTCTACCAGTACGGACCATTCGCGTCAAGTATCGAGTACTTGACTCCTAATTTCAGGACGATTTGGCCGCCTCTAGATTCGGAGGTACTGGATACCTTGTATCCAGGCACCTGCGACCGCCTTAGAGCGCTAGGCTACCGGAAAGTGCTCGAGATCATCTTTTCGCAGCCCGTCATCAGGAACTCCAAAGCGTCTAACGCCGAGGCTAGCGAGGAAGAGACCTTTGTCCTGGAGAATGATCTCTACCTCCATAATATTCTCGTCGACGATGATGGCAATGTTACAGGCATTCTAGACTGGAGTGTCTTCGCAAGTCCACGTTTCGTGGGTTACGCCTCACTTCCCATCTTTCTCCGCCGTGATTGGCACACTTGCTTCACTCTGCACGACTACCCATGCATGGGATATCAACTGGACCACTATCGTCAAATCTATACCAAGGCTATGGAGGAGACCGGATGTGCCGAAGCACGCTTCACCGCTAAGTCAGGCATGTACCACGCGATCGTAGAAGTACTGACCAGTTCAATGTCTGCCCCCGAGCTTATCAAGAAGATTATGCTTGAGATACCAGAACTGCGTCGCACAGACCTCAATGAGTTCAACATGCTCCTGGGGCGAGACGACTGGCCCGAGGCTGAAGAGTGGTTGGCGGGGAAGATTGGAGAGCTTCTGGACAGCAAGCCCTTATCACGTTGAAGGGGCCTATGGAGGGAGTGAGATGTGCTGAATACGTGCGTTCATCACGGACAGCATCATGAGTACGGAGACTAATCAAGGAAAGCTTAGTAGATGGACAGGTCAGCTGGTATCAGGTCCTGTCGCCAGAGTTTTTTTCGAATATCGTGCGCTGTATGGCCATATCAAGATAGAAGTTCTGTTTATATTACACCGTTGCTCATTGACTAAAGTGCCTTTGATGTGTTCCTTTCTTCTCTCGCTACATGTGGTCAAGTGAAGATCGATACGTCATGGATCGCCTGACATCACCACTCTCACAAGTACACATCTGGGTACATAAACATACCTGCAGTAGTTTCTGAAGGATATACAACTCAAAACCATCAATCTGAACAATTCTCAGAAAATATGGCATCCCCATTAACAATAGTCGTCACCGGCGCCAACCGCGGAATCGGCCAAGGCATCATCAACCTCCTAGCCACCACCCAACACCCGCAACCCCTCCACATCTACGCCACATCCCGCGGCGGCGTAGACCTCAAAATCCAAGCGAAACCTCCTAACGAAATCCGCTACGCGAAACTCGATGTCTCAGACAAATCATCCATAACATCCTTCCTCAAAACCGCGCTCAACGATAGCGGCAAAATCGACGTTTTAATCAACAACGCCGGTATAAACAACAACAACGACGAAACCCCCGATGCCGCCGAACAAGTCATCAACGTGAACTACCACGGCACAAAACAAATGTGTCAACTCTTCCTCTCCGACGGAAAAATGGCTTCCACACCAAACGCCCGCATAGTGAACGTATCCAGCACCGCCTCTTCCTTGTCAAACTACCCCAGTACAACTGCATCCCGTTTCCGCTCCGCAACGTCCATCGCCGACGTAGACACCCTCGCCCAGGAATACATCAACGACGTGAAATCCTCATCCCAAGAAGCCGCCGGGTTCGGCGCGCCCCCGAAATCGTATCAAGTCAGCAAAGCGCTGATGAACGCGCTAACAGTCGTTCTGGCACGTGAAAACGAGGGCGTGTTGGTGAATTGCTGTTGTCCTGGTTGGGTGGATAGTGATATGGGGAATCAGATTGGGAGGCCGCCGAAGACGTTGGAGGAGGGGGCGAGGATACCGGTGAGGTTGGGGATTGGGCAGCTTGGTAAGGGAGGGGATGGAGACGGCGGTTTAACACAGGAAACTGAGCCGATAAGTGGTAGATATTATGGCAACGACGGAGTTACAGATCGGGGATGGGGGAGGGCGAGGGAGTGGTAGATCAAGTCTATTGTAGATGGTATGGTAGTACAGAATATAGATTATCCTTTTCTCTGAGCGAACAGACCGAGTATACAGAAACACCATCCTCACACTTCCCAAACCCGCACCTCAATCAATCCAAAAACCAACTCGGCACCTCCGGTCCCCAAACCGCCAAACTCTCATCCCCCGCCTCCCCCCACCCCACCGGCGTCTCCTCATTAACGCAATCCCCATCCGCATAATGCTCAATCATATTGCCCGTCGTATCCCACCAATAATCAAACAACTGACTCCCCAATATATGCCTCCCCACGCCCCAAACACTCTTATACCCCTTACTCGCCAACCACTCATGCCCCAGATTCTGGGTATCAAAGTCATGGACTTCGAAACTGCAATGATGCACATGGGAAGTGGGGTTGCTGGAGAGGAAGATGGTGTGGTGGTCTGTGTATGCGGGACCGAGATCCAGGTGCGCGAAGATGGCTACGTCTTTTTGTTGGGGGAGGGAGGGGTCGGACGGGTTGGGGTTGATGTAGAGGAAATCGGTGGGGACGATGTTGAAGGTGCGGGTGTACCATTGCATTTCGGATTGGAAGTTTTGGACGCAGAGGCCGTAGTGGCCTAGTTTGTGTACGGCGGCGGGACCGGGTTTGAAGCGTTGGAAGCGCGCGATGCGAGGCTTTTCGTTTTCGTAGTTTGTTGTTAGGACTTCGGGAAAGGGACCAGGTTCTTTTGTCTTTTGCCCGTGGATCAGGTTTATGGGAAAGCCTTCTGGGTCGTGCAATGTGATCATGTGGCCGCCGCCTGGTGCGTCGGTCAACTCCCCGATAGGACCAGCACCCGCGACTTTCGACGCTTTCTCTAGCTCGGCGTAGCTTTCTACTTCGAAACAGCCGCCCAGGAACTTCTTTTCTCCTTCTTGTGCGTAGTAGACGTATTGATCTGAGCCGTAGCCTTTGAACCATTTCTTGCCTGGGGCTTTTTGGGCTACGCTCATGCCGAAGTCACGGAGGAATGTGGTAATTTCGTCTAGATCAGGATGTTGGTACCGCATATGCACCAGTTTTGTGAGTTTGATTTGGGCATCGCGGTCGATGTTTTGTTCTTGCTGCCATTGTCGGAGTGGTTTGCAGGGCTTGGGTATGGCAATGGATTGATGGACGGAGGAGCCGCGATTTGGCGATGTTTCACGGCTGGGGTTCTGGGAATATGGTCAGTCAGGTTCTGAGTATTTGATGTCTTTGTTCATCAAAGAAGAATAAGTTCCAATGGCGACCTCATGTGTTTGAACATGCCAAAGAGTATCGAGGATGCAGATGTGGGGCCGTTAGAGGTACATACGGCAGGTGTGATTTTGTCGTTCAACTCGTCGAAAGCCATGTTGAAAGAACTCCCAAGTTCCTATCGCCAAACGGATTCGTTGTATAGAAATCAGGCAAAGCAATTCGATGTCTGGTTGCCAATGCAGCCAGCGACGGGAGAGTATATAACCGGATGTGGGGGAAGGAGATGGCACCTATGCCGATGTGGGGTCCCGGCATCTTCGCAGGGCTGAAGGCAAGGCATCCTGCATCAACGCCACTGGTTCGCATATGCAACAGATACTGGCTGAGCCCGCATGTGGAGAGTCAAGATGATGTGAGGTCAGCGTGGCACATGTACAACCAGCCGCAGTTCGCCGATGGTGCTGTTTGTTCGATTGTTACTTCAAAGCTCCATCATTTCCTCTTCTTCCACAGTGGGTTTGGCCCCTTCGACCAAGTTGTTCAGCCATGTACCGAGTCTGAGCGCGGCCTTGCTTATCTGAAGCTCTACGATGGGCACAGCGCCTGCCGCATACCCATTAGTCCCAAGATCTGTGTCATTCGTTACGCGACTCCACACGTAGTCGCAATCCCATTTGTTGCTCTCCTTCGCCCAACTTGTTGCGCACTCCTCGGGTGTGGAAGGGTCGGTACAGGAGAGCCACATGTACGGCGCAGAGTAGAACTGGTCTTTGCGAATACGAGCGACGAGCCCAGAGAAGAATGGATCGATCGACTCGTGCGAGAAGGGATGGTCGACGTTCGCCGCGAAGTAGGGTATGTAGCCGTCCCAGACCTTGTTTGTTAGCACGTCCTTTTTCTATCGGTGTAAGATACTCACAGAATGTAACTGCGTGTGAGCGCCACCAAATACCACTTTGTATGTATTGCCTCCTACTTGTCGGCCGCTTGCATGTAGAGGCTGATGAATGTCGCCCAGGAAATGAGCAACCCACTTCAACGCATACGAGCAAGTCAGGTTTGCACCTCCCGTCAAATCACCAGCATACACATGGTCTATGCACTCCCGCAGTATCCTCGTCTGGTTCGCAATAGCACTAACAACGCAACCGCCCTTGGAGCAGTCTCGCGCATAGTCTAGACTACAGTTCTCAGGTTGGCGATCGTGTGTGTCTATCCAGTGCCACTGGTAGGAGAAGTGGCCTTCGCTTGTGTGCGCATACGCGTCTGCCCATGCTGCTGAGCGCCCGACTGAGCCGTTGTATTTGGGTTCGAGGATCTCTGCGAGGACGGACGTGGTTTCGGATGTGAAGAAGGTCTCTGCCATGAAGCCGACTTGATTATGAACTGTGTGGACTTAGCGCTAGCCACTCGCGAAAGTGAAAGGACGTACCGTCTGTGTTCCATGCTATCGCCGAAGCTACAAGTGTAGCTCCTATGAAGATGCTACTATGCAGCATGATACCGGGTGTCAGTAGAGCTATGAGTTCGAAGAAACAAGAAGATATGTCTGTGTCTAGAGGTATAGAAGTGCGCAGCGCTTATGTACACTCCAGAGCTTGTGGCTGGGTAAATGCGAGCTGAAAGATGGGGCTGGAAGCCTAGAATCCCGCTCTTGCCGTATGAGAAGGTCAAGATAGATCAAAGTGAGATTTCGTACGAATAGCAGTATTCCAAGAATGTAGAGACGAGATGATCAGTGTCTGGCGCCTCTGTTGTTGACCTCGGGACGCGTGATGCACCAGATGACGCGCCGTCCACGTGGGGTGGCCGGGGAGATTGCTGCAGGGCAAGCGCACTAGAGCCGAAACGGCAACGCGCATCGCGACTTCCCCACACGTGCCCAAGAGTGAATCGCCATCACTGCGCTTTCACTTGCGTCTTTCACATCTGCGGTCTTGGAGATGGCATCAGTTCCAGATCCTTGGACAATTAGAGTAGAAATATGACGCGATTTCCTTCACCAGTCGCGCGGCTAATAGCACGAGAACGCATGGAATTTAGACGGCCGAGGAAGAGAAAGACTAAGAATGGATCGTAGACGGTATTGAAGAGGAGCATCGCTCCACTTGTGAAACAAGGCACAGTTGCAGCTTCCTCCCATTTCACATAGGTGAAGTTTGCGCCTCGATAACCGAGAGCTCCTTCCTGTATTGAGGCGAGATGGAAACGGCCTTCACCTTCCTCTTTGCCAGCTCACACCTAGTATCCCTTTCACCACCTCTTCACCTTGTCTGCTCTCTTTCTTCTTCCTATCTAGCCGGCAGTTGTCACGTACCTAGACGCGTCTCAACTCCCCTTCCAAGATCTCATTATCGACAAACATTCCGCGTTACCCAGCACCGTTGTCACCATGTTCAAATTACCTCTCCAAACCGCTCGTGGTGTCTCCAGAACTGCACCAGTCTCTTTGAAGCGCCAGCTACGACCAAGCTCCAGTTCAGCGTCCGACCGCGCCGGGTGCGTTGACCGAGCCGTCAACGAGCTCCAGGCTGCGCAGGGCATAACGAATACCGGTCGGATTGTCAACAAGATATGCACGCGCCTCGCCAACGATAGAGCAACGACGCGTACAGAGCAGCTGATCTGGCTTGCGAAACATGCCCTCGATACATCAGCAGCACCCAAGCGCGACACTGATAGCAGCAAGGCTTCGGTATACCAGAAACACCCAGAGAAGCAAGAAGATGAGCAAAAGTCAACAGCGTCTGAGGCGGACGGCAAACGTTCTTGGGAGGGCGTTTCTGCATGGCCGCATATGTGGTAGGTATGTGTATCGTCATGACCCGATAGAGAGGCTGACTTGTATGTGCGAACAGGTAGATTTCCGGCTCAAGCACCTCTTTTCGATAGTGGGCGCTTCTCTGTCAGTGCGTAATCTTCAGGACTGTAGATTTCGAGCCCGGCGCGTGGAAGCTCATGGTCACGTATCATCGTCAGCTGCTCTGGGCCTTCTGAGTTGGTATGTGGACCGAGTACCCCCTGTGGGCTACCACAACAATACGAGAATACGCATGTATACGCTTCGATACGCTTGAGACCGCACCAGTATACTGCTATATACCCGGCAAGTAGACGAGGCAGACTTCAGGTGGCTTTGGGTTATCAGTATTAGGTAGCGCTACGATATATTCAGTCATATCTCAACTAGGCCTCCAGACTACTGGTGTGTATTCGGTGAATTCGGTTCCTAACAATCCAAGCCAACTAAATTAGTGGAAGGTCCGTGGACGCCTAACACTATCAAGCAGCACCCATATTAGCAATTCCAGTGTCGATCGTTTCAGATGCAATTTGTGACATGCAAACTGGACCCCAGGAGTAGGTAACAAGGCATCGGGGGCTGAGCGATGACGAAGCCCCGCTTGTGGCTTTGATCTATTCATGGCCAATCACACGCCAAGAAGTCCGAAGAGGTCCGCATCATAGCGCATATGCTCTCCCGCGCGTGGAATACAGGCTTGCAGCTCCTACGTCTCATTCTTAATGTAGGGGCTCTTCCTGACGCTCTCTCTTGCAGCTTCGTTATTACCTACAATGCCCTCTTTCTGAGCCTTCTTTTGCAACCACCATGGCGAGTTCAAGTAACCCCGCGCAGGGCAATGACGCGCCCCGCGACAATGCCCCGCCAACACAGCCATATACACAAACACAACCCGCGTTGGTCTTACTTGGTGGTTGACGACAGTTTTATACTGACTTGATGCGTAGCGCGCCCTCTAGTTTACATCACAACCCTAGCGCCAACGATGGTCCCGCCTACGAAGCACCGACCCTTGGGGACCTACCACCCGCATACACCGAGTTGCCAGGCCAGGTCGAGAACGAAGAGCTGGGCACCAACGCAGTAGTCGCCGACGACGGACGTGTCAATATCCGAATCGATCAAAAGAGCCGCGCGCTGTCACAACTCATCCTCCCACAAATACAGCGTCAGCTTACAAACGCGCAAGAAGATCCCGAGCCGCCTCCACCATACGTGCCAGAGTTCCTCGGTGGTGCGCCCGGCCAGCAGCCTCCGCCTCCATTAAACGTCGTCATACAAGTGGTGGGCTCTCGCGGTGATGTCCAGCCATTCGTCGCACTGGGCAAGGTGCTCAAGGATACGTACGGCCATAGGGTGCGGTTAGCGACACACCCGACGTTCAAGGACTTCGTTATCGAGAATGGACTGGAATTCTTCAGTATCGGAGGCGACCCAGCTGAACTCATGGCTTTCATGGTGAAGAACCCGGGGCTGATGCCTGGCTTCGATACATTGCGCAGTGGTGACATTGGCAAGAGGAGGAAGGGCATCGCAGAGATTCTGAGCGGTACATGGAGATCTTGCATAGAGACGGGCAATGGTCTCGGCGTAGACCCGCTTCAGCAGACGGTCGAAGAGTGGATGGGTATCGAGGACCAACTACCAGAGCAACTGCGCAAACCATTCGTCGCCGATGCCATAATCGCAAATCCTCCCGCTTTCGGACACATACATTGCGCTGAGAAGTTGGGCATACCTTTACACATGATGTTCACGTATGTTTGGTCTCCTTCAGATACGTGCACCTGCTAATTCGGATAGTATGCCGTGGTCGCCTACACAGCAGTTCCCGCATCCACTCGCCAACATCCAGTCTAGCAATGCAGACCCCACCATCACCAACTACTTGTCGTATATCATGGTCGACGTGCTCACATGGCAGGGTCTGGGAGACGTCATCAACAGGTTCCGCAAGGATAGCCTTCGGCTGGATCCCATCAGCGCTGTCTGGGCGCCAGCCATGCTCGCGCGTCTGAAGGTGCCTTTCACATACTGCTGGTGAGCATACTCGGAATGCTGCGCACAAGTTTACTCACATCTCACAGGTCTCCTGCACTTATTCCTAAACCCAGGGATTGGAACCACCACATCTCCGTCGCGGGCTTCTACTTCCTGAACCTCGCCTCGAACTACACACCAGCCCCGGATCTTGCAGCCTTTCTCGATGGAGGTGAACCACCAGTATACATCGGCTTTGGTTCGATTGTGGTGGACGATCCAAATGCCATGACTAAGATGATATTCGACGCCGTGAAAATCACCGGAAAACGTGCGTTGGTGTCCAAAGGCTGGGGCGGGCTAGGAGCCGATGATCTTGGAAAGCCAGATGGCGTCTTCATGCTTGGTAATTGTCCTCACGACTGGCTGTTCAAACGCGTGTCTGCTGTCGTGCATCATGGTGGCGCAGGAACTACGGCAGCTGGTATCGCAACTGGAAAGCCGACTGTCGTTGTGCCATTCTTCGGAGATCAAGCCTTCTGGGGAGCCATGGTCTCAAGAGCTGGCGCTGGGCCTGATCCAATCCCATACAAGGAACTCACTGCAGAGAAGCTTGCCGGAGCTATCAACGAAGCCCTCAAACCGGAAACACTCGATCGGGCGCAGGAGCTCTGCGACAAGATCAAACAGGAAAACGGCACACAGAAGGGAGCTCAGTCATTCCATCAGATGCTCAATTACGACGAACTGCGATGTGCTCTTATGCCAGACAAGCCGGCTGTCTGGAGACTGAAGCGGACTGACGTGAAGTTGAGTGCTAAGGCGGCTACTGTACTGGCCCAACAAGGCGAAGTGAACTTCTCTGACATGAAATTGTAAGCAATCGCATGCTCGATTTATGACATGTGCTAAAACTTGTAGATACCGCCCTCGCGAGTATGTTCCTGATGAAGGCCCTTGGGATCCAGTTTCTGGCGCAGCTGGTGCTATTATGGGGACAGCAACCTCAGTGATGATGGGTGTTGCTGATATGCCAATTCAGACTCTCAAACTACTCAACATACATCCTGATGCCAGATCTAAGAAAGGCAAAGAAAAGGCCACAGGTACCGAAACTTCGTCGACCGGAGAAGGAAGTAGTGGACGCCCGACGACATCGAGGACGGCGACTGATGCTACCGATCGCTCAGGTAGAAGTGGGGCCGCAACACCAACAGCAGCTGATGCTGCTGCTGATCTGGCCCGGATACAGGCGGACAACCCAGCAGTCAAGAGCCCTGGCTCTCCTGGTACGCCTTCACACAGGTCATCATTCATGTCTCAAGCATTTGCTGAATCTACCCAAGGCTCGCGATCGCGGTCTCGCAGTCGCTCCAGATCAGTGGCTGGATCTGCAGCACCATCCAACACTGGGCCAAAGCCAAGCATGGCCGAGAATTGTGAATCTGCAGTAGACACTGGGAAGGGTCTAGCTAGGATTGTTGGCGCTGGCTTCAAGTCACCCATGGACTTCTCACTCAATGTGGCTAAGGGGTTTCACAACGTACCGAAGCTCTACGGAGCAGAAGTGCGACAGGTCGATAAGGTTACCGATTTCCAGAGTGGCATGCGAACCGCTGCCAAGGTATGTTGACTATAACGCTACGAGTGATGTTTACTGATGTCAATACAGCAATTCGGCTTTGGTCTTTATGATGGCATCACTGGTATTGTGACGGATCCTTACAAAGGCGCAAAGAAGGAAGGTGGTATCGGCTTCGTCAAGGGAGTTGGACGCGGTATCATGAGCGTACCATTCCGCGTCATGGGTGGTGCTTGGTCGGTTCCTGGCTATGCCATGAAAGGACTCTACCAAGAAATGGTCAAGAGCAAGGGAAAGAGCGTGCAAAACTACATCATCGCCGCACGTATCGCGCAGGGCTACGATGAAGCATCCGAGGTAACGCAAGAAGAACGCGACGAGATCGTCAAGAAATGGAGTCACATGAAGTGGGGTATCAAGAAGAAGCGCAACGTTGGAGCTGAGCAAATGGACTCGCTCCATTCACTTGTCCAACAGAAGAAGGATAGGAAGGATAAGCGCTCTGCTATACTCGACTCGCATGTCGGTGCAGTAGCCCAGCCATCAGCACACGCGAACTCCGTCCCACAAGGCAGCGCCGCAGGCCAATACCCTGATCCCCCACGCAGACGCGGTGTCGAGCCTGAAATCCGGTCAACGATTCCCAGCTGGCGGCAACAAGAAGCCGAACGAACACGCGCAATAAGACGGCAAGAAACCCCAACATCAGACTCCCCATCAATCGCATCGTCAATCGCCCCATCCCAACAATCACAAGCCGATCTCGAAGCCCAACTCCTCGCCGAAGAAGAAGAAGACCAACGCGAACTCGAACGCGCCATCGCCGCCTCCGTCGCCGAATCCTCGCGCGGCGACCCGGAAGAAGACCGGCTCATCGCCTCCGCAATCCGCGCTTCCATCGCCGAACTCGAAAACGCACCCCCTTCCAGCGGCGCGCCAACACAGCAAGACGAGGAAGCAGCGCTCCACCGCGCCATGACGGCCAGCATGTCCGAAGCCGGCAAAACGGATATGACGGAAGAGGAGAAGAAGGCGCTTGAGGAGACGCTCAGAAAGAGTTTGTCTGAAACGAGCAAGCGGACGAGACGAGACAGCGATCATCATGAATGGGATTCTGATAACGATACCGAGGACGATGAGGATTATAAAAGGATTATCGCTGAGTCGAAACATCTCGCTCAGATTCATGCTGAGCATCCGGATGAATATGCGACGTCGACGCAAGGTGCGCAGCAGGAAAGCGGTGTTATGGATGCGATGAGTCAGGCTATTGGTGGTGCTGCGCAAGGTCCGACTGATGCTTCTCCACCTCCTTACGCTCATTCTTCCGCCCGTGCTTCTACCGCCCTGGGAGAAGACCAGACGCGTGATCACGACATAGATGCGCGGGCTGCTCCTCCTCCACTGCCTCATCGCATCACGATGCAAGACAACGATAACGACGATGAAGATGCAGAACTAAAGAAAGTGTTGGCAGAAAGCGAGAAAGCGGAGAGTGAACGGATTAGTAAGTTGGAGAAGCAGAGGACGGAGGAGGATATCGTTATGGAGTATGTGCGGAAACAGAGTTTGCTTGAGGAGGAACATAGGCAGAGGGTTAGGAACGGGGAGGAGAGTGCTGGAAGGTAAAAATGCTAAAGGGGAGGGTGGTGGTATATTTGCTGAAAGACGATATGTGATACCCTAGTGAGAGCACCAATACACGATTTCATGTCTTTTTTCGAATATATGTTGCAAAATGCGAAATCTGATTGGATAGTTTAGATCTAATGTGATAATTATCTTTCTGCTATATACGTACCATCTCACCATCCGAAAAAGATATACTCAAAAGATTTTACAAGCGGGTATACCCCCAACGCCCAGTCTTCCATCACACCTGCGAACAAAACAAAAGAACGAATAAAAAAAAAGGAAACTCCCCTCTCCGCATGCTATGCTCACCCCGGCGCCGCGCCCGTCAAAACCCTAACCCCCCACCCCCACCACCCCTCCCTCTCTCCCAGCACCTTGTCCAGCTCCCGCACTCTCCCCTCCACAAACTCAACCTGCCTCTCAAACTCACCGACCACATCCTCGATATCCTCCACTTTCCCCCTTAGAGCACTAATCTCATACTCAAGCTTATCGCCCACATTACCCAATTCGCGCAGACTCGCCGTCAACTGCCCGCGGTTATTGGTCACGGTAGCGTGCGTGTCTTCGCGGAGGGAGTGGTACGTGTCGAGGCGGGGGTAGTATATCGACTCTAAAGTTTGGATATCTGTGTCTGCGGAGGCGGAGAGGGATGTTATGGAGGAGAGGGCGGTGGAGACCCAGAGGGCGTCTTTGGTGGAGAGGGTGTGGAGGTGGGTGTGGAGGCGCTTTAGTTGCGTGGAGTGTAGGTTCTGGGTTGTGGCGCGGGTGGTTAGGGCGGCGGTGGTTGTAGTGGTTGTGGTGGTTTTAGTGAGGTTGGCGTCGGTGTCGGCGTCGGCGTCATCTGCAACTGCTTCTTCGTCGATATCGATGGGATCCGAAGCGTTGATTGTGGGCCAGCGGAGGACGCTTTCTTCGGCTGTGCTGAAGGAGAGGTGGCGGGGCCACCAGTTTTCGTTGCGCGGGGGTTGGGAAGGGAGGAATTGGGTGCCGGATTGGGTGCGGCGGAGGAGGGGTGGGACTTGGGCGGTTTGGTCGACGGGGAGGTTTTGGTCGAGGTCGACGCCGTGGTAGATGGATCCGGCGACGGAGCTGGATATGGTGGGTGGTTGATCGGGCTGATCTGAGACGTCGCTTTCGATGATGGAACTGCGAAGGTTGGATGCGTGGCGGCCACCAACTAGCTTGTTGTCGTTCAGTGACACCACTGAGTCGCCTGGGGTTTCAGTAAGCTGTTTGGTGTAGGCCGGTTCCTCGCCCATTGTACTCTGAGGCGACATGAGAGAATAGGGATCGTCCGACTGGCTTTCGTAGTAGTCCATTGACGTTCTTGAGTCTGCATACTGTGGTGTGCCGCTCTTGGTTCGATGCAATACGTGTCGTCCATGTTCTTCTCGCGATACTTTGCTTGCATGAGTGCGCAGACCCACAGCGTTTTTGATATGATGGAAGCCGCTACCGGACTCGAGCTTGGCTTTTATGGTGGCCCGCTTTGAGTACGGATCTTTGCTGTCTTTCTCCTGGCCATCTGGCGAAAACGTTTCAGCCTTTTTCATCTCCGAGGACCCTGTGTCGCGCTTCGCAATGCCTTGTTGATCAAGCGTTGATTCTCGGCGGACCAGCTTCGGTGCAGGGTCATGTTTGTCTGGGGAGGCTGAGCGTGCTTCTCCGCCAGGAAGTCGATCGAACATGCTGTCTCCGGATACGGTCTTCCTGGGCTTTCCGTGCCACAACCACTTGGCGTGTTCACCTCTCACAAGCTCCACAAACTGGTCAATGTCGACAGTCTCCACTTCGGCGATACCGTCCTTCTGTCCAGCCCCAACAATGCCCATGACCATCTCACCGCCCTTGCCTCCTAACTCGGCCACGGTGGATTTGAAAGCCCGGGGAACGGCCCAGCCTTCTTTACTCGCTGCCTTTGCTGAGGCTCTTCGTAGCTTATCAAGCGTGTGTCGATCGAGGCGTCGAGTTCTGGGAAGATGTTGCGACTTCTGGAAATGTCCGATGCCACGCTTAGTGGCCTCAATATCGAACACATCCTTGGCAACTGCAGCGCTACAAGCACTCAGTCGGTTTCGGGCACCCATCAGCATACCCAGCAGAGCAGCGACTGTGGTAGGACCAAGAATGCCATCGTGAGGTTCCACTGTGTAATACTCCGATCCAAAGTCTATCCACCAATCGTTGATAGCTTTCTCCGTGACATCGCACAGCAGCCCGTCTGCATACTCTGGTTCCAGCTTCCCAAACAAGACAAGTGCCACTTGACAGAGCTTCACAAGCTCAATGACGGATGCGTTGAACGGGATCTTTTCGCTGGTACGGTATAGTTGCTGGAACTTGGCTTGCGTGGCACTGCTTGGCGGCGTGAGCTTTATGCCCAGCCGACCCGAACATCCCAGTCTCTTCAGGTTCTCGTTGACGAAGAAGGCCTCGCGATACTTCTTCAGATCGCCTCCGGGGATGGGAATGACAGTCAGGGACGAGGGAAAGCCACTGAGGTTGGTGACCATCAAGGCGCCATAGGGGGTGTCCTTCCTCCGCGCATGGTACTCGGTCAGCGACCTGAAGTACAGACGCATCTGCGGCGACCATTCTTCCTCATTCTTGGGTACGCTTATGATTGTGGCCAGCACAGTGTCCTCGGGATTGCCGGTATAGGTTGTGATGAGGAAGGTGGGATGGGTGCGCGAACAGGCCCATTGCTCGACGAGGTATATCTCATAGCCCTCGATCTTCTGGCGACGGGCGAGGACGTGGCATGAGGTGGTCGGGTCTTCTTCGATGTAGCGCGCGGCTACCACGTCGGTCAAGACGAAGCGCTGGTGTCCGGCAGGCGACGTGGGAGACTTGATCCTGGCCTCTTCGGGTATCATTTCGGTGGTAGGAGCTTTGGAGAGCGGCTGTGGGCGGGACTGGGCTGTAGTCTTGCGCTGGGTTGACGTCGTCTGCAGGGGCGGCATCTGGTCCCGCAGCTCCTTCTCCGTGTGCGTCCGCGGCGGCGACATGGGCAGCGGGTGCGCCATGTTAGGCTAGAGGCGGTGAGGTATGTTTCGGATACACTACAGGGCGCTGCAAAGGCGTGCTCTTCATCGTAGAGAGGTAGGCGCAGAGTCTCGCCGATGCCCGAGCGCGAGCCACCGGTTCGAGGGCGGCAGTGTGACGGGGAGCGAGTGGAATGGCACTTTATGCATGGTTCCAGCAGTCTCGAGCTCGGCGCTGCATCTGGATGGCGAGAGGGCGTCGGTATAGGGGAGGTTGTGCATAGGCGGAGCTGATGGATCATGCGCGCGGACGTCGTCGGCCTGGTCTCCCCACACGTCATGCCCGCGGCTGCAGCGACCATGCGGCGATCGCGAGCTCGACGCCAACTCCAATCCGCCAACACGACGGCCATGGACAGCGGAAGAGAGCTCTGCTGGCCAGATAATAGCTATCCACTGCCAGCTGACCCTCTCCCCAAACCATCATAGCCACTGCCCCCGGGCATCCCATCACTATCACACCATGGACGACCTCCGCGAGCAAGTGGAGCTGCTGGAGAGCAGCGCCAACCTGTCCACCAGCATCGACGATGTGCAAAAGGCCATAGACATGCTGACGGCAGCTCGCGCTAAGATCGCAGCTGGTGAGGACTCTGTCAACAATCTCGCCGTGGACCCTGCTAACTTGCGCGACCAGATGCGAAGACGGCGCCCGTGACGCTCGCCAAACTCCAGGACCCGTTCAAGAAGTCTCTGGACGCGGTAAACAAAGACCTCAAGCCAATCTACGCTGGTCTGAACAAGTATGGCAAGACGCTGGACAAGGTGCGCTTCCCTATACATGCATCAACACCACCAACCTAACAGTTATCTACAGAAATTCAAAGACAAGCCCCTTCCCTCCGCCGACAACGATGCCCTCTCCTCGCACCCCTCGCTCATCAACCGCGCCATCGCCATGCACCTCCTGCGCGAAGGCCAATTCGAAGTAGCATCCACCTTCATCGAAGAAGCGCGCCGCCAGCCACCCCACCCCGAACCCACGCCCAACACGCCGAATCCATACATACGCGAAGCCTGGGAGAAAGATCTAGCAGAAGGAACATTCAACTCTGAGCAACTGCAACAGCAATTCGCCGACATGTACCACATCCTGCACCAACTCCGGCACGAGCAGAACCTCGCCCCCGCCATCCAATGGGCGCGGGAACGCAGCGCCCTCCTCGAAGAACGCGGCAGCAACCTAGAATTTGAGCTGTGCCGGCTGCAATTCGTGTGCCTCTTCGACAGTGTATCCCCCGCCCCCAACGACGACTCCTTCATGTCCGACTCCTCCGACGAAGCACCCCCCACAGGCCCCCTCTCCGCCTGGGCCTACGCGCGCCGCGAATTCCCGCCCTTCCAAAAGCGCTACGCCCGCGAAATCCAACAACTCCTCGGCGCCATGGCCTTCTACCAAAACATACCCACATCGCCCTACCACCGCCTCTTCTACAACACCACCGCCTGGGACGAAGTCGCCCAGTCTTTCAACCGCGAGTTCTGCAGCCTCCTCGGCCTCTCCGCAGACTCCCCCTTGTTCATCGCCGCCACCGCCGGCGCAATCGCCCTGCCCTACCTGCTCAAAATGCAGTCCATCATGAAGGAGAAGCGGACGGAGTGGACGACGCAGGATGAGCTGCCTGTGGAGATTCCGCTGCCGAGTCAGTACCATTTCCACAGCATTTTCGTGTGCCCCGTGTCCAAGGAGCAGAGCACGGATAAAAATCCGCCCATGATGATGCCGTGTGGCCATGTTATTGCGCAGGTGAGTTTGGATACGCTGAGTAGGGGTGGGCATAAGTTCAAGTGTCCGTATTGTCCGAGTGAGAGTCTTCCCAAGGAGGCGATTCAGGTTATACTATAGGACGTTTGTGGCCTGGATTCGAGAGCGTTTACGGATATAAGTCTGGGTTGGAGGATTTGAAACCGCATGGGATGGGCGATGATGTTTGGAAAGTATCCATTCCGACAAACGGCGGGGATGACTTCGTAGCGGAGGAGTGGTATGTGGTGTTTTAGCGTTTTGGGCGTTATCATCGTGAACATCTTCATGGTCGGCTGCTTGGTATCATCACAGTATTTGCTAGCACGGATGGATCTTTTACCAGCCATCAATCACCACTACAATGAAACAAATAAATTCAACCACCTCACTCACTTGAACTCATTGCTGAAAACACTGTATTACGCTATATCTTGCTGACTCCCCTTCCTTCCGCTCGCGACGGAGAAGAACATTCCATATACGCCATGAAACACATGGGTGGAATCAAACGCCAGATACCCCATATCGTACGCCGATGTACATTTCCCCGAGAAGAGAAGGTAAAGCCTTGATCATTCGAGATCGGGTATCAAAAAAATGCGAAAACACGTGTTTGCGCGTCTAAATATGCGAGTAGGGAACAGATGTTGTTAGAAAAAGAACATGTGTGGTGAAAAGGCGATAGATCGAACATGGAAAGAGCGAAAGGAAACCATAGCGCGAACGCTGTGTGAACAGGGAGGAGGCCCGCAGCTTTCTCGCGCACACTAGCCACCACCCATACCAAACAAGAACTTCAGCTCTGATACGCTGAGCTTGGTAAGGCTCTTCGACGCATTCTCATCCAGCGCCGCATCAATCTGCTCACGCTTCCTATCCTGGATAGCAATGATACGATCTTCCACGGTCTCCGGTACAATGATGCGGTGCACATATACTTCACGCTCCTGGGGCATACGATGGGCGCGGTCGATCGCCTGTTCTTCGATGAAGGGGTTCCAGAAAGGGTCGAGGATAATGACCTGAGATGCTTTCCAGAGGTTGAGACCCGCGTTACCGGCTTTGAGAGAGACGAGCATAATGTTTTCGTTTGGGTCGTCCATGAAGGCGTTTACGGCGTCGGCGCGCTCGTCCATCTTCATGCTGCCGTCGTAGCGCTGGTAGGCCAGTCTTTCTCGGTGTAGAGGTACTTCGACGAGATCGAGCAAGGAAGTGAACTGGGAGAAAACGAGCGTCTTCTCAGTCGGGTCATTCTCCTTGATCTCTTTGAGCAGTTCAACAGTCCTGCTGATCTTCGCAGACGGAATGAAGGTCTTGTCCAGGCGACGCAGGTAGCGCTTCTTGGCGCTCTTGTTGCGGAGAGACTCTTTCTTGAGCTGAGCAAGAGTAAGCTTGGGTTTGGCGCGTTCCTTGCCCTTGCCCTTGTTGCCCTTGCCAGACTTCTTTGCCTTTGCCTTTGACTTTGACTTCTTAGACTTGGACACAGATGCGGAGCCTAGGTCGTCGTCGTCATCTTCCGCCTCATCGGCGACGTATTCGTCTTCCTCATCATCGTCAACGACGAAGCCAGCAAGGTTGCCCTTCCTGTCGACATCCACTGCATCCTCCTCGTCTTCGGAGATGTCAGAATCAGAGTCATCTTCTTCAGCATCGCCCTCCTCTTGTTCTGACAAGTCAGCTGACCCAAGCCGCTCTGGGCAGTGGACCTTGCAGAAGTGCTTGTAATCTGTGATCAGTTTGGCGCTGATATCACCACGGCAGTGTGGGCACAAGGCCGGGGCAGCTTCATCATTGCCATCTTGAGCGGTTCGCATGGCCGGATCCATGATCTTCTGGACACATTCACCGCACACCGTATGTCCACACGGGATGAGGATCGTCGGGTTCGGATCGAGATCAAGGCAAATCGGGCAATCGAAAGACTCATTAGCCTTCAGTCGCGCGACGACCTCATCACTCAGTTCCCTGGCGCGGCTCAAGAGATCGTGTTCATCGATAGCCTCGGTTGCTGGTTGACTGAGGTCTTTGATAAGATGCGGATGACAGCATGCTTGGCGGAGGCGAAGCAGGAGAACCAAGACGTTGGCGTAGTTGCTTGTGACAGTACCCTTATCAAGGAACTTATTCATCTGAAGCTGCGACTTGGTTTCTAGAGCCTTGTAGAGCTCATGTTCTTCGTCTTCGAACTCCACACTATCGATGGCAGAGTGCTTGGGAGGGATCTTGGAAACAGGCTGCCCATCAACGACAGCGTCTTTCCGACGCCGGAGCATGATACCCTTGATTACGATGTGAAGACGGTTCTGTGCACCGGTCCGCGCGCGTGGCTGAGTGCTCTTGTAACCCTAGATTTCGTTAGTAAAAGATCGTACCCAATAGTCAGAGTCATCTGTACTTGCCTTTGCAATGTCCATGCTATACTTGGTCCATGTAGTATACGGCGACATCTTCAAGAACCGGAGAAGAGGGAAAAGCTCGTCAACGCTGTTCATCATGGGCGTACCAGTCATGCACAAGCGGTGTTTAGCCATGAGGTCAGCGCACGCCTTGGACGCCTTGGAGTTCCGGTTCTTGATATTGTGGGCCTCGTCGATGATGATACGATACCACATGCACTCTTGTCCTAGCAGTGCGAGCCTATCCTTGGCCTTGCGGCGCATGCTAGGATTGCGGAGTTCTGCGTCGTTGGCCATCGCCTCTTTGGAAGACTCCTTTTGCTTGTATTCTGAAGTCAGGGAACCAAAGGTGGTGAGGACGACGTCACACTGGCGAAGACGAGCGAAATCAACGTTCTTACCACTGCCATGATAGAGGTGGACCTTGAGCTTGTGGCGAGGATGGATATGACGCTCGATCTCCTTCTCCCATTGCCGCATAAGGGCGACAGGCGCGATGATGAGCGTTGTCTTGCATGCCGGATCTGTGGGCGGATTCGCGCAAATGAGAGCGAGAGCCTGGATGGTCTTGCCCAGACCCATATCGTCTGCAAGAATACTGCCCTTGGTCGCGCCGCGCTCCTTGTTGAGCAGCCACGTGAGACCTATACGCTGATATTCTTTCAAAGTACAAGTCATGGTCTTGGGAGTGGGCGCTCGCTTTTCTTTGTCCTCTTCGTCAACACCAGCACTGATGCTCTGCAAGAGCTTCTCAATGTCTTCCGCCTCATTGACATTGAGCGGGAAGCGGCCATACTCCTCTCCGTCACTGCTCCACCCTCGCATGTGTTCGGGATAATCTGCCTCAGCACGAGGCTGATAAGGGAAAGTCTGCGGCACAGCGAAATGACTACCTGGTGCACTGGGTGCGATCAGAAACTCAGCAAGCTCTTCCGGAGCCATGAACTCTTGGTTGAACGCATCAGCTGATAGTATGGTGCCATTGTCACTTCCTCCCTGATAGTTGTTGAGCTCCGGGAATGGGTCCATATAGTGTGGGGCGGGATCTGGTTGCGCATGTACATGGATAGGAAGCTCGAAATTGCCAGGCGAAGGTGGATTCGATTCAGTCAGGTCGACAAAGTCCATAGGGTCAGAGTGACGAACTCGAGCGGCCTCGCGACTAGGAAGCGATTGTGACCATGGACCAACGGGCGAGGTTGGAGTTACCGGACTAGGCTGCCCGCTGACACGCTTGGCTTCGGGGTAGTCGGTTATCCCAAGGCTGCGCTTGCGGCTATGTTGTGGTTCAGGCAGAGGCGGCGAGGGCGGTACTTGCATACCATACGACGACCCGTTGGTGTATGACGGGCCGCTATGGTAGCTTGTGTGGTTGTTTCCGTTGGCATGTGTCCAGTCACCATTCTCGTTTGGAAAGGCCTGGCCATATGCAGTCATGGCGTTGTTGGGCTGGAAGCCATTTTCTATGATGGCAGTGACCTGGGCATCGCTCTCGCTTTGGTGTTGCTCAACCGACCGCTGCTGGTAAAGCGTCTGGAGCATGTTCTCGTATACCGGCCGATCAGCGGGATCAATGGCTGGAAGGACCTCTTCGAGCATCTGAATATTGTCCTGAAGGCTCATCCTGTCGGACGCCATCTTGGGCTAGGCGGTACCGTGGTTAGGTATGCGAAGGAAGCGGGTCGGCGGTTGTACCAGGGGACGTGGTGGTGGGGTGGGAAGCGCCAGCAGTGCGGCGCAGGGCGAGTTAAGTAGGAGAGGCGCTGTCGGTGCTGCGGCGAGGACGCGGTGAATATGAAAGTGAATGGGGAGACGGTGCTGGTGAAATCAGGCAGCCGTGCTTGCCTCAGCTGGGAGGGAAGGCGCCGTCGAGGCAGTTGCGATGTGCGGGCGCGACGCGTCTGGTTGCGCGGGCCTTGTAGGCGTACGACGAAGCAGGAAGCGACGAAGAAGGTTGTGAAATGCAAACAACGAGGTTGCGACAAAGAAGCGAACACGAGTTGAAGAAGAAGCAGACTAGGAAAGCGAACAAGGCGCTCCCGTCTACCGTATTGGGGCCATGATAGCCTTGTCGCAGTGGGGTGTGGGTTGAGCGACGACTTGACGACAGGGAAAGATAATGCGAAAGGCACTGCGCGCAGTCCGACATGTCGCGTCCCCCTCCGCCGTTACCGAGAAAGGGCAGCCTTTGCTAAGCCGAAGCGTGATGTCATCCGATACCAATCAAATCAATGAAAGCACATCTCCAGGCGAAAATGCAGCAAACCAACGCTACACAGGGCGTGTGAAAAAAGCCCAGTCCTACCCAGCTGCTGAGTTGGCCACGAGGCTGAAAGCTGAAGGACTTTGTTTTCTGCCCTGTTCTGATGCTCCGGTCAGCAAACACGCCTGTAGTGAGCTTGGCGTGCATCCATGTACAACGACGTCAAGCGAGGCGCGCGAGAGACGCGAAATTAGATAGTGAACTAGCTGCATGTAGTGGCTTTGACGTCTATCATAAATAGATACCATGGGCGAGCATATCCGTCGCAATTAGCAATTGCCCATTCCGGGCCCCCATACTCGTGTGGGTGACAGAGCCCTCGAGTCTGCGGGTCTCGCACCCCGCGCCTGGCAAAAAGCAAGTGTGCGAATTATCTAGTTCGCTGCAGTAGGTGGGATTTAGACATATCACTTGAGGCATATACCCCGTACAATCCGAAA